AAAGACTATTGTCTACCAATGCCCAGCCAGTGCTTCAGCAATGGTTGCTTTGGAAGACAGCCCCCCACCCTGTTCTTCTTTTACTCAGGCTGTTACTGTTGAGCATGGCAGGGAGTATCCCTTTGGGTCAGTCATCATGAAGGTGTTCCATCCCATTTTCTTGTGCACTACCAGCCTACTCACTGGGGATCTAGACTGGGAAAAAGAAAGCCCTCAGGGCTGTGCAAGCTGCTTAACAGCCAAAACATGGATGTATTACCAACACTGTCTTAGTCACAAATCCAAAACACAGCATCATAGGCACTACTATGAAGAAAGTTAACTCCATCCCAGCCAGACCCAGTACAGCAAATCAATGACTTCTAAGAAATGTGCTTTAAAAAAAAAAAAAAAAGTAGTTTTATTGTCTTAATCACTGAGAACTAGTGTTCTGTGTGGATTCAGAGCACTACCTTTGCAAGCAGCTCAGTTTGGTATCTTGCTTTGAAAACTTCTCCAGTTAAAAGTTGGAAGTGAGAGTTTAATTATGACCTGGGCATGTTCACAACTGCTGTTCAGAATAGCAAAGCAATTCAGGCAACAGCAGTGGTGGCTGGAATAATCTGAAATTTGATTTTTAATAATCAGCATTAGATTTACACTGCAGTCAACACTGTTTCTGTAGGTGATGGGGAGAATCATAAAGAAAAAAAGTCAAGAGAGAGGATCATAGTCACTCAGCCTCAATGACTTAAATTATCTAGCTTTGTCTTAAACAGTAAGGATGTATGAGGCTGGTGGAGAAAGTGCAGTAATAAAATTATTCCCAAGGTGTGTAATGTACACAAATGTGGGAAAGTGCTGCTCCTGTGATTGTGTTAGAAAGAACAAAGCATGGAATTACCTGTATAGGGAAAGTTGCCAAATATTGTTCAAAGATTTTGCATCTGGAGAGGAGCAAGAGAAAAACCTTTTAGGAGTTTCCCTAAACATATTGAAATATTTTTACTGGCACTAAAATTTGCTAGAAGTCAGATTTGAGACTAAGGTTAGCAAAAGATTTTAGTGTAGAAGCAATACAATCACTGGTAGCTGGCACTTAGGAATGGTTCTGTGAAACGTTTTCTCTTCTGAAGTAAGGGTAGTGATATCAGCAGGTTTCATTCTGGGCATTTTTGTTTTTTAGCACTAGCAGCTTGTTAATGCTAATCAGGTTTAAATTGTTACACCTAATACTGCAGTATTACTGTGTTGAAAGGCATGCTTAGTGTGACATAGTTACCTTGCAAAACGGTTTCCATACACAGGCAAGTATATTTTTAATGCAGGGTATTTATAGATGGGGAGCAATATAAAGCAGGTATGAGTATCTCTTCAGTGGGTTATTTGCTGTCATGGTGTCAGCAGATTCATGGTTGTATTTGCTGTAATGTTCATTTAGGGCCTTGTTGGTACCGACACATACTCTAATTCTGTAGGTATCGTACTTTGTGTGAAAGTTGACATATATCTGTAATGCAGAAATTTTGTGATAGGATGAGCAAAGAAATACCCCCATGACAAATGTGAGATGCTTTGTACAAACATTAGCCAGAGGAAAAGTGTCTCGTACCTCACTGGTGTAGTCTCATTGGTTTTCTTCTTGAGTTTCAGTGCTTCTTTTGTTACTTTGGCATTGTCTGTCACTGAAAGTGATGTTCCAGAAATAAGAGCTATTAATTTCACCATTTCTATGGTGTATAAATGTGTGTAGGCTAGTTGTGGGGTTTGTTTGTGTTTTGTTTTTTTGTTTGTTTTGCTTTTCATTTGTTTGGGTTTTTTTCGGGGACTGATCCCTTAAGGTAGATGGAGAAGTATTCCTAAAACAGGCAAAAGTGATTTGAGGCTGGTGTAGTACCCATTTTTAATAGAAAAGTTTGCTTGAAAATAAGTAGATACAAAGTTGACAGTGTCCCTTTAAGTATTTTTTGAAATAATAGAGTTCTGTTCAAATATCTCTTCCTTCCTCTTGTTTTACACAGTATTCTGCAGAACCATTCCTAAGCTTTAATTTATTACAGAAAATAATGGGTTCACTTCCTTTTTAAGCAGGACAAAAGGAACAAGCTGTTGAATGGTATAAGAAAGGAATTGAAGAACTGGAAAAAGGAATAGCTGTCTTAGTAATTGGTAAAGGTAAGCGAGTTTTGAATTTTGTGGAAAAGATTTTGGTTTATGGCTTCTTCAAAGTGAGGAATCAATACTGCTAAATATGGTAGGTGCTGTCTGAATTAATTCATAAGAGTGTTTCTTATTTCTGTTCTAGCTGTAGGTGAACACTTGTTCTTTTCTTCTGGCTTGACATCTGTAATCTGTACAAATCTTGCTCCAGATATTTTCAGGCTATCCAAACTAATAAGCAGTTCATTAAAATCCTAAAGCAAAATGCTTGATCTCTTACATCATGGAAATGCCAAAATTTTGAGTTCTGATTTTGTTTGCTGAAGTTCACTGTTGATGTTCATCTCACTTATGCAGAAATTTATATTCCTTTCAGTAAAAATAAAATAGAAACACCCTGATTTGGAATTGTCTGGCATTGTGTTTTTGAATCAATTATGCCAGAATAGCTGAACATTTCCTCCCAAGGGAGAAAATCCATCTGTGTATATGGAAGTATTTTAAGCTGTAGTGTAAAAGCAAGTATGTACCATAGAGAAATAGTTGTAATGAAGGATTTGTTAAAAACTTCTGTCCTCAGATTATTATTTATGATAATAACGCAACTCCCCAGAAAACCCCAAACTAGTAACTGCTTTTGCAGACTTCTTTTTTGTTCCTCAGCTGTGTTTAGGAATGTTTGTGAACAGTATACGGTGAGGTGTTACTTACACAGTGATACCAGTAGCATTTGATACAACCCATCTAAATTGAACACTTTAAAACAAACAAACCAACTTTGACTTGAACAGACACTGGTTTTTAGGAAGGGGTGATATTAATGTCTGTAATTACCTGTGTTTTGAAATGTAAAGGGACACAGTCAACTGAATTTAAATCTGTTAATTTTGCTGAAGTGAATTATTTCCAATTGTACTTGCCTCTCAGTCACTTTTCAAGCTTCTTAAAAATCTTTTTTATTTGACTTCTGTTTAGAAAAATGTGTGACAAAGAACTTAGACAAGGTCAGCATGAGATATTAGAGAATATGCAAAGCAACGCTTGGGTTCCCACTGCTCTACAAGCAATTAATTAATTTTAAATTCTTGATTAAATAGAAACATTTAGGTTTTTTTCATTAGTTCTGCAATCATGTTTCTTAGTGGAAGGGGCAGCCAGGGGGTGGGAGGAAGAACAGGGAAGGCTGGGTGTCAGTATTTTAGCACTTAAAGTAGTTAATTTGCCAAGTTGTGTTTTAACATTGATTTTTCTTTGTAAGGTGATCAGTGTGAACGGGCTCGACGTCTGCAATCTAAAATGATGACAAATTTGGCAATGGCCAAGGATCGCTTGCAGCTTTTAGGTACCAGTTACAATTAATGACTTTGGAAAGTTTGTCATTCACACGACTTTATGTAATGCCTTCTTCTAAAGTATTACTTTGATTTTTGAAGTGAAGGAGTAATTTTCTATGTAGGGTCTCTTAAATTTGGTTTTTAGCTGAGAGTAAGCAATAACTTTGCAATGTTATTGATGGATTTTGAAATAGGTATCTCATAACCTACTTCCCTATGCCTTAAGGAATAGATAAAAGAATAGATAAAAAAATAACCGAGAGGTCTGCATTTCATAGCATGCAGGACTTATGAACTGGAGAAGTCTTGACTGACTCTTGTTGGAGTTAGTTTAGGATTTCTGTGTTAGTAATGTAGTAAAATTTATGATATATTGCTGATCATGAGTGCAAGTGTGCCTTCTGTAAGTGTAACTACTTAATTTTCTGATAATTTTGTTGTCACTTAGATAACAATTTTCCCCATTATTTGTATACACTGTGATAATTTTTGAGCATTATGTAGACCATAAGGCTGTAAAATCATAGTTCAGTTTATCCTGTAATGTTCTATTTTAAGACTAGCAGGTAGGGTTATATTTCATAAGAATAGTGTTGTATCGTTTTAGCTTTATCAAAATTGTGTTGTATATAAGCTCTTAATGTACAGAGTAAACCAAGCATCTTGCTGTGCATGATAAACAAAGATCAAGCAACAAATCCCTAGCTTTGTATAGTGTGTCCTCTAAACTGAGAGCTTTGGAAATGCTGCTATTTCAGGCAGTAAAATTAAATTAAAGATGTTTTTTTTTAATTGCTCTCAAAGGGAGAACTAACTAATGTACTTCAGTTTAACTGGATTATCTGCAGCTTTAATCTGACACTGTTGTTTTGAGTTCTGCTAACTCCTCTCTCCTAGGAGTGTATAGAACAGACAGGAAAACTTACCTTCTTTTTCTCTTACATTTTGTGATTCTGTAGTCCTGACTGGTGATTAACAGGGAAGTTGTGACAACCACAAGAAAGTGAATCCTTTTTGTTTCCCTTGAGTTCTTGGTGTCCTTTGTTCTTTTTGAAAAAAAATTAAGGGAACATGGGGTGAAAGAGGCTTCCAGCTTTTATGCCTTATTATGGGAGTTTGTCAGTAGATCCTTACTTAGCATATGCAGGAAAGGTATTTTCTAGTCCTAAGGACTAAAGACTGATTTTTAGAAGTTATATAAACTAGTGAACAAAAGAGTGAAAACGATTGCACATGCTAACAAACTTCAGTAACTTATTGCTTATTACTGATGATGTAATTGCAAGTAACTAGGGTTGTCTGGGCCTTCAAGTAGCCATGTCTGTGTTTTGTGGGTAGAGCCTCATCCTTGCTTATGTCATTGTTGTAGCACTTGTGATGTTCATAAGAGGCTTGTTTGCTGTGCTCTGATTGACAAAATAAAAAGGGTAAACATTGCCCAAAAAATGAAGCTATTAGCCCTTTAGGAAGGAAGATTATATTGTTTGGAGAGAGATTCTGGTGGATTTAAATCCCTGCAAGCTTGACAATTATGGATCTATTTGAATATAATCTAACCAACTTTCAAGTATTAACAGCATCTGTTTTTATTACTTTATATGTAATTTTACATGTTTTGTTGTTTGTGGTGTTTGTTTTTTTTTTTACAATTAAGGTAATCTAGAGTTGAATTGCATGTGTAATTACAAACATAGCTTTTAGCTTGTTCTTTATGATAACAGATATTTGGAAGCTTTTAAGTGGTGTAGATATGCTTTTGTAGTTGAACTAAACCTGGGGCTCTTGAAGCTCTTAAGGTTCTGTTAAGTGTTTTTTTTTCCTCTGAATCCAGCTTTAAAGCTCAGAGTGTTTCCTGTGAAATTTCTCCATTTATTAAGGGAGAATAGGCAAGTTCTTTACTGCTGGCAGGATAAAACAGTAAACAATAATATAAAAGTAGATAGTAATATTAAATATTACATTCCACTAGCTAGGCAGAGGTTTGCCTGCAAACTACCTAGCTGAAGTGCCATCCAGTCAAGCAAGCTACATTGATAATACACAGAAAGTGACAAATCTTATGGATTATAACTGTCCCTTAAAAGTGCTCAGTGTTTTGATTTTTTTTGAAGAGAGTTGGATCATCAATGTAAGTTTAAGTTGCATGACACCACTGATGAGGGTGTGATCATCATATCACTGATGCCTTTTAATGTTAGACTAAGAGGATGTAACTACTTACTTTGGATGATGGCTTTACTATTTTCAGTCCTGTTTCCATCTTGAGTCTAGATTAGTGTAGCATCATATTCTGTTTAATGTACTGTGACAAAGCCTGAAAGCTGAAGTTACTCCAGGTAGGTTTCAGAGTGCTTCAGGGTGCCATGATCAATTTGGCCATCCAAAGACAATATTGAGTTGTGCCAGCTGTCAGGGGACTTCTACCATTTGAACTGGTGGCTGTCCCTGTTTTACATGCTTTACAGTGTGTTAGCTGTGCAGTTATGTAGAGGAGTGGATAAATCTTGCTCTCATGAACTTCATCTCTGATGATCATCCTGATCTCTCCTGGATGACTGATCACCCATATTAGAATCATTATATTTGATACATTTATAATCAGAAGAGAGTATTTGTTTTCTACAACTGATACATAAAATTCAGCAGTTTGCCATTCCTAAAGACAGATAACCACAATGCCCAGTGCAACACTATTCCATTCTGATGCTGCACATGTGTTGTACCTCTGTGTTCTCCCATGTCAGAGAGGCTTTGTAGGGGGACGGAGTTCTGTCAGCACTAGTGCCTTTCTGTCTGCTAGATTCAGTATTTCAGTTGAAGGATGCATGTGGCACATAATTAGAGTAACCTCTTTGGTGATAATTCTGCCCATGTTTAGATATGGGGTTTAATTGGAGATTCTTCTCCTTTCTGGGAGGTGATGGTGTTTTTACTTTAGACTTGTATTATAGGGCAATATTTTTTGCTAGAAGTCAGTTACCTTGAACTCAAGGTCTAGTGTTGCCTAAATAAGACAACAGCTACATTGGTGTTTATTTGACAGGTTTATGTCAGTGTTGTATCCTCAAGGGGAAAAAATGAGATTCTGTAAAATTTTTGGTTTTCCTCCTGTCCCAGTGTCTGGAGACAGGGAAAAAGCATTTAAATGGAATGTGATAAGGTGTCCTGTTAATTCCTCAGAATAATATTTAATAGCTCAGTTTTGATTATTCCAGAGGGTTCTACGGCTACACTGTCTCTCAAGAAAAGCGATGTATTTGCTTTATGTAGTTTTATGAGCAATATTAAACTTAATACATAGTAGGATGGGAAGAGAGTGTGTGAATTGAAACTGGTCAGCAGTTGGATTACTTTTGTTTTTTGTTGCAGTTTTGAAGCTCCTGAATATGCATAACTTGTTAAGCAATTGATAATTGTTGTAAAAACCCAGTCGCAAGCTGTAATGTTGAAACAAGTAGCATTTCCTGAATTCCTGCCCAAGCCAATTGACTTTATTATCATCACTCACTAGGGAGTTTTTCTGTAAAGTTCAGAAATGTTTTCCAAACCTTAACTGTTTATCTAATACCTTATCAAGTCTATTAGTACTAATTTTGTTTTCTAAGCTTTCCTATGTACTTTAAGATGGCCATGCACTCAGAAGGGAATAGACAATTCTTCTGTCTCCTTCAGTATTGCTGTGCCCGTTAAAATAGTGCACTGTGGTTGTGACTAGTTAGTCTATGACTAACCAGTCATAGAGCAAGGATTTCCGTCAGACTTCTATAGAGGGAGGTTTCTTAGAGTAACTTCTTGCAGGTTGCAAACTTTGTGGTTGGTTGTAGGCTGTTCTTGTATGACTGACGTTTTTATTGTTTGACTGTGCCTGACTTCAGTGCTCTCAATTTAAAACAAAGTAAACCCTGGATGCACTTACTAATCTTGAACTTTAGCTTTTCATGTTTGCTTGTGTATGCTAAGTTTTCACCCTAAACCACATCTTGTTCAGTCTGGATATTATTATTAAACCATGATATAAACTATTTGGTCTAAGGATACTTTCCAGGGAAGCTAAGTGGTGAGTGATCAGGCGCAGACAGAAGAATGGAATGAAGCAGGAAGATAGGAGGGGGAAAAAAAAAGATCTGTAATAGGCAATGAAGTGGAACCAAGGAAATGTTGATGCCTGTTGGTTGTATGATCTACAACTTCGGAATGGCTGTTCTTCCTCTGGTCATAGCATTTGTGATCTTGGCTGTGCACAATTTCAGTAGCATTTGGCTTCTTTTGCAATATGTGCTTTAATGTTACCAGGGGACACCCCTCCTCTACTTGGCCATCTGTTATCCTGCAGCTTCTTGGTACTGTTGTATCCTGGGAGACAGGAGATTGAAAAAAAAAAAAGAAAAGGGGAGGTGAAGTATGACAATGTATGCCTTGCATCCTTACAAGCAGTGCTTTGCTTTTTTTTAAAAAAACCCACATGTAAAGGTGGGAGAGGTTGTACAGCACCCCAAAAGTAAGACCTAGACATTTTTAACTGCAGTGGGAAAAGGAGTGGTAGGTGAGCTGCAAAGGACACAAATTCCAGAGACTTAACTCTGGTTTTGTATCATTTGCAGCCTTATGGTGACTTCTTTTAGTTAATTTCTTTCTCTTTCATCTTTAAGCATAAGGTATGGTGTTTTGCTTGAACAGTTGAGGTTTCTGTAAAATGTTGACTGGCTGTTACTACTTAAGTGAAACATGTAATATGCAGGAAAATGATGATTCCTTCCAGTTGGTCAAAAGTAACACTTTTGGGAGGACTTTCAGAAATGGGTTATGAACACAAATATTTAGTGAATGAAGTTGAATTAATCCTGACCATTGATTTTTTTGGGAAGTAGCTACAATCACTAGACTGGAAAGGTTGTTCTAATTAATTCAGCTGTAAATGGCTAGATTTAATGCTGTTTTCTGTCATGCTCATACTGAGAATTTTCTTACAAATTTGCTAAGCATGTAGAATAGGTAGAAATACTCTTTATGTTTAACCTTGTATCAAGTAAAACAAAGCCAAACTTGACATTTGTGTGTTCAACATACGTAAAATTTCTCGGTTCATTTTTATTTTTTGTTTGTTTATTTTGTCCTTTTTCCTCCCTCCCCCTCTGTCTACTATGTAGAGAAGCTGCAGGCAGTTTTGCAAATTTCCAAGCCGCAAATGGAGGTCTATAATGACAGTACTAACCTGGCATGCCGCAATGGACATCTCCAGTCAGGTGGGTTTGGTTTTACCAGCGCCTATTGAGGGGATGTCTTTCAGTTTCTGGTGTATTACAGGGAAGAATATGCAATGCTATGTTCTGGCCCCAATCAGCTTTCAAAAAAATTGTTTTCTATTTCTGTTTTTAGAGGCTTTATATAAAATACATTTCATATTTTCTGTTACAACACTGTTTTATTTTGTAGTGTTCAGTTCTCTCTTACAATGGCTATCCTAGAATCTAAAACTATTCACTAGTTGAATAGTGAATAGTTCACTATTTCTAAATACAAAACATCTAATCTTAAAGGAATTAATTAAAACCTGTTTGAGAAAGTGTCATAGTCAATGTAGAATACGTAGGTTATATATTGTGCCTACATAAGTAATTCTTCCTTTATGATATAGTGAGAGTGAATGTGCATTGTCATTAAACTGCCGTAAATTTCATGGTTTTTTACCCTGAGAAAGTTAAAATAAGGGAAAAAACATAAGCCCAAATATATTTTGCTTTTTTCAAATAAAGTTTACCAGTAGACTGCACCAGGGCCACTAAAATACCTGAAGGAGTAAAGTTACTGTGAGGATTGTGAATTCTCTTCCGGGAAAGTTTTAAGCAGCACTAAGCTGTTGTCACAACAGTGATGTCAACCGATAATTTGTACAGTAGACTAAACTTGAAACTTAGTGTGAACCACCTGCTTTGCTTTTGACTCCATTTCTAGGTCTGAAGTAATCTTACTGTTTAGTTTTATTCCTTCTAATGTATGAGAAGTTAAAGTAGTGGAGCTATGTCATGTTAGGCACCTTTAGATTATTGTGTGTGCTTGTTTTGTTAACGTATTTGTCAAAAAGGTGTAGTTAAAATGGGTCTTTGTTACAAGTTCCTATGTAGATTGAGCTTGAGAACTCTACCTTCAATGATCCAGTACAACTCTTGTCTTTTTACCTGGTTGGCAAGAGATCGAATGGACAAATTCCTACTATGCACACAAAAACTGATAACATGCTCCATCTGGTTCAATATATGCAGCTTTTTATTTAAAAAAAAAAAAAAAAAGTATTTCTTTTATATGTCTTTTTACGTATTTCTCAACGTATCTCAGACCTGGATGCTGCAGGAGAAGGTTAGGCTTAACTTCCACTTTTAAAGCAGTTAAGTTGTTATTTGTTAGTAACAAAGCATAGAATATCCATTGGCAGCTACTGGAAATAAAGAAACATTTTGCCAGTTCTTTAGCAGGTGTTCTTACTTACAGAAATTCCTGTAGCAGTAGGTGGTTACTGTTGGTAAAATTGTGGAAATTGGTATTAATCACTTTACATATTTGAAGTCATATTCCTGGTCACTTACAGAAAATAGAGGACTGAACCACTTTTGCGAAAGTGTGGCAGCAACGGTAACAAAACAACTGCAAAGGGCCTTGTTCTTCTGGGATGCTTTTTTCAGAGAAGGTGTCTTCCAGCTTTTGGAAAAGGAATTAATACAGGCTAATAGGAGAAGCTTTCATTTATGAGGCTCAATGTGATCTGAGACAGAAGAACTGAAGAGCAGGTCATAAAAAAGTTAGATACCTGGCATCTACTGATTACTTGGAACAAGACTAAGAGGCTTGTTCTATTTCCATTTGCATGGGGTTGTTCAGTCTGAAGAGAAGACACTGAAGGGACCTTCCAGTACCTGAAAAGAGCCTGTAAGAGGGCTGGGAAGACCTGTTCACAAGAGCGTGTAATGATAGAGCAAAGGGTGGTGGTTTTAAGCTAGAGAAGTGTAGATCAGGTTGGACAATAGGAAGAAATTCTTTATTATGAGGGTGGTGGATCACTGGAACAGGTTGACTAGAGAGGTGGTGGAGGCCCCATCCCCAGAGACACCCAAGGTCAAGCTTGATGGGGCTCTGAGCAATCTGTTCTAGTGTGAGATGTCCCTGCTTATTGTAGGCAAGTTGAACTAGATGACCTTTAGAGGTCCAACACAAGACATGTTATGATTCTATGTTAGACTGCATGTTACTGAGGAAGTAGAGGTGCTGCAGAAGTACTGAGCTGCAGGGCTCTGGCATAAGCATAATTTTTTCTGTTTACATAAAGTATTAACAGTGTTGTTGCCTAATCAAGATGAGCTTTTAAAAAGTCTGGATTTTATGGAGTGTGTAATATGGTCATTCACAGTTTTAACATGAAGGAAGTGCCTTTTTTACCCATTCTTTGATCAAAAAGTGCTTTGTTTTCTTTCATTTGCCTTTGAAGACCAGAGTCATTGAAGATGTTTTTGCTTCTTAATTCTGTCTGATAATTTAGTCTCACAGCTATGCTGCACATTTTGATATTACCAGAATGTTACTTATTGGAGATGGTTCCTTCTTTCAAGACACCATTTGTCAGCCTTTCAGATCAATTCAGACCAACTTGATTCTAGAATTACTGTTTTAGAAATTACTAGAATTACTATCTGTCCCTCACTTCTTCATTCATAGTTTCCTAACTTACATTAATTGCTAGAGATTTTTCTTGAAAATTTGTCTGATAGATTTATGTTAAGGTTTAATAAGACCTCATTATAGCAGCATCACTTGCCTTTCAACTGCAGAAGGCTATGCAGTAACTTGTAGGAGTAATAAATAGCCTTGACCCAAAAGTTTATTTTGAAATATGCATTTCTTCTTTATTTTATTACTTTTCCAGGGAACACTCCCTGATGATTTTTAAGGTTTCACAACTAAAGGCTGGAAACTGTTCTGCAGTATTGGAATAGCTGCTGTTAATTTTAATTTATGTTGATTTTTGGATCCTTAAGAAGTTATAAAACAGCAGAAAGTTTTTTATTAAGATGAGCCTTAATCTGGTTTAGGTGCACAAAAGGAAATATAATTGGTTTGCTTTTTAGAAATAAAAAACATGTTCTTTATTAAATAAGCACGTTAGAGCTGCATGTCTCCAAGATTGTTTCTGTGTTTCCAGGTGTGTAGTATAATAAGGCTTCCCACTAAATTGTTCAGATATATTCTCACTTCACTTTTCCTTCAAAAATGGTTAAATATAATAAATGCATTTGGACATTTTTTTTCTGTAAAGGAGTCTGAAATTGGACACCCTTCTCTGCTGCTTTTCAAAAGTCAGCCAACACAAAACGTCAGACAAAAATTTGCTCCTTGCTTATTTGTAGTTTGTTGGTTGTGTATGTATTTGGATGACAGATCAAAGCTGCAGAGATACTTTAATGACCCATTAGTTATTGTTTCTGTATGATCTAATGGCATTAGTTTGGAGCTTTGAAGTAAATTATTCTGTCCAGTCGAGAAATAGAGAGAAAAATCAAAATTATAAAGTTCCTATTATTATCCTGAAGGTATAAATGAAATAGACAATTGAGTTATTCTGTGTTTCAAATACATGTAAAAAAGTACCATGGTCTTTGTGATTAGAACTTATTTTAGGCACTTTTTTACTGTTTGATACGAAACAGTGAAACATTTGGCAGAAGGCTGCTGGAGATGCTGCAAAGATTGTAAGGCCACTTGCAGTGTATTTTCAGTCTTTCAGCACCTGACGAATACAAATTAATAAGCTATGTGTCCTGGGGGTTTTGCATTTGTTACAGCAAAATACATATTTTGCATAATGAGATTGTAGGGGCTGTTGATCTGCCAAGAGACATTAATGCACTCTTAAAAAACTTCACCCATTAGAAATAGGTAAACTGTAATTCTGAAGAGTTTGGTCACCTTTTTATTTGCTTCTCCAATAAAAATTGATAAAATTAAGCTTCCCTCTGGAGTTGGCAGTGAATATCCATGTTCAAAAGTAGTTAATTAGTGCTTTCTGTGTTACCCATCAGGACTGACCACAGAATGTAGGTAAATTTAGTGATCTTGATTCCTGGAGGTACAGCTAGAATAAATTGTAATTTGTATTTAAGCCTGTTGCTTTTCCTTCCCCCAGCCCTTATTTTCAGCTTCCCAAGCTACTCTTTGCCTGTGTAGTATTATGATGCTTGAAATTGCAATGTGTGTGTATTGTTCTCAGTAGATGGGGTTAGTTCTGGGAAAGTGAGATAATTGAGCAACATTCAGGGATAAGAATATGGAGAAAAACTACTTCAGCTTTTTGAAGCCTTCCCATGTTGAGTCTAAGCCAGTTGTGCAAATGAGGATGAAGGAAAAAAGAACCAGCCAAACAAGAGTTCCACCTTTTGATTAAATTGGACCAGGAAAAATGTTGAGTAGCTAGGTTTTTTAGTGTATACAAATACTGCTTTTTGAACTTGAAAGTTGTTAAGCATGCCTAATTTTGAAAAGTTTTTAACTTGGAAGCTCCTGTGCAGGAATGGCTAACTTAATTTAACCAACTCTGAATCTTTGTGTGGTTTAGTCAGTAGCCAGTTTTTTGGGTTTTGTTTGTTTGGGTTTTTTTAACAAGGCGTATCTTACAGGTAAATGTAGTTAACCACATTCTTCAAGTCCCTTTTGGCCTTTACATATTGGTACATCTGCATTGTTTATGGCGACACCTGCAGAGTTTCTGTACCTCTTAAAAGTGCTGGATTTGTGACTGAAGAAAGGCTTTAGAAGCTTGTTAGCCAAGTAGTTCAGTACATATATAACTGCAGGCTGTGTAAAGATTTGTTCCTGTTAGGATGTAAGACTTTTATGTTTAAAGAGGCTGAGAACATGGTAGTAATTTATAGAACCTTTTGTGATACTGTTTCTCTGAGTTATTAATATTTTAATTTTCTAAATACAATATTCAAAATTATGAGGCTTTCTCCTTTAAGTATTTTTCACTGTACTGCAATATTATAAATTGAAAATTCTATGTAGAGTTATTAACTTAAAAATCAGAGTTCTTTGGCCTGTTGCTTAAGACTAACAAGTCAAACTGAGTTGCAGATGTCTAAAATCTTAGTGAGGAAACTGGTAGCTGAAATCCATCTCGAGCTTCCTTTGATGCCATATTTCTCTTATCAAAAGGTTCCTTAATCCTTTTTGAAGGATATAAAATAAGGCAGTATTTACAGTTTCCATCATAGACAATAATACTGTACTAGACAGCTTTTAGTATTGTGTTCCCACCACAAAAAAAACCCTGATCTGATGCTGTGCTCTAATAATTAACTAGCCTGATCAACCTGTGTAGAACATTCTTACCTCTTAGTGTCTGTTTTGATGTTTTACACTTGCCATTTCTATGCTAAGGAGCCTTATTTTATTTTGTATCCCATACGGAAAATGTAGAAATCAAGTGCTATTTCATTTATTCTGGACTAAAATGGCCTTTTGTAGTTTAATTATCTGTAGCCAATATGTAAAGTTTTATCTGTCACCTAAATTAAGGCCTTCCTGTGTCATCATGGAGATGAAGCACAGTAAGGGTGAATGGAATTTGTGTTAGTGTTTGAATTCTGTTGGATAATACAGTATTTTAAGACTTAATTTTAAATGTAGGAAGCTAAATTGCTTCAGAGCTGTTAATCCAGAATTTACTTACACCTTGAGATTCCTGGAATGAAAAAAAGTTGTAAGAGAGAGACCCTTGAAATTCCTTGCAAGTGTAACTAATTTTCCCAAATTAAAGTGCGTTGGTGAAGCCTCTGTGTGGAAGATGCCAGACAGTGTTAACTAGCTTCCAAAGTAACTAGCCTGCTAACAGCACTGAAGGAGTGAATGTTCTCAATTTAATGGCTTGCAATTTGGGGTTTATTATAATTACTCTTTTCAGGAGTTCTTGGGAAGGAAAATCTGACTGGTGTTCTGTCTTAAGGAATAGATGATGTTCTTCTGTTGTTACTGGACTTAGCTGTCTTCAGCTTTTTTTGCCTAACTAGTGTTGGATTTGTGAGCTCCTAAAAATTCAAAACTTAGCTTTAGGAGAAAGCTACAGTTACTGTGCCCTTAAAAGTACTAAACTTCTTTAAAAACTTATAATACAGAATTGTAGCGGAATAATACATGTGTAGGTAACATTATCTTCAAGTTAGAATTGATGGTAAAAGTAGGACTATTAAAAATGTTCTCACAATGTTGATTTTCTTTGTAGAAAGTGGAGCAGTTCCAAAAAAGAAGGATCCCTTAACACACACGAGCAATTCCCTTCCTCGTTCAAAAACTGTTGCAAAAACTGGATCCACAGGACTTTCAGGTCACCACAGAACTCCTAGCTACAGTGGAATATCAACTTCTGTGTCTAGACCAGCATCTAATCCTGTAGCTTCAACTCATAAGGTATGGTGAGGATAAACATAGCAGTATATACTTGGGAAGTCCATGTAAATTCCAGATTAAACTTTAGATTTACTGCCTTATTGCACTATTGTAGTAGCAGAAAGTGTTTCTTTTTTGGGGGGAGAGAAATCTAACCCCCTAAATATTTGGCCAAAATCTCTTGAGCTTGACTGCAGAGTGGATTTCAGAAATTGTGAGGCATCGGATGGCTGCATAGGCAAATAGTTTTTAATTGTGATCACAGTAATAGATTATTATACTTGTTTTGAAAATTGCATGGGAAACTGTGGAAAGCTCATCTAGGAAAAAAATAAATATTACTCCCAGTATGTAAAAAATTGAGAAAAAACCCTCCTACTCCTTAACTACAGATTTCCACCCCCCTGACCACGTTCCTTGTCTTCCAAAGCATGTAATGCACAGGTTGTATTGCATCCACATTAAAAAGTGAATTGTGGCTGGCTTGTGGCTGAAATAAGTCCTATACTGTAGGACTTCTACTAGTGTAAATGTGATTTAGCAAAGTCCTATACTAGTAAGACACAAAAATGTCCCCCTGCTTACTCCCACAGTAAAATCAAATAAAGAGCAGAATGGACAAAACATAAATGTGGTTAAGCATTATTGTTACTGTAATATGAAGTGTTTAACACCTCTTAGCAAAGTGTGACAGCAATAGAAATTTTTGCTTATAGGTAATGAGAATCTGAAGCAGTTTGTGATGCTTAATTTCTCGAGCATGCTGAGGTTGAAATACTGTTGTTAAATATAATTAATTACCTTTAAAAAAAAACAAACACCACACAAATAATCCCCCAAATAAAATCAAACTAAAAAACCCCTCTCTACTGGAGCCTAAGATGTTCCACCTGTGGCTGAATATGATGGTATGATTTGCAGCAAAATACAGCATCATACTATCTGGTATGCATTGACATGACAGGTTTTACTGGAACATATGAATTGTAGAAGTAATTTTGTTAACAGTATGCCTTAAAAAATACCAAGTTGGAGTTTTTAGATCGCTTTTTATCTTCCCCCCCTCTCTCCAGGCTGCTCCTAAAAATAGCAGAACAACTAAGCCTTCTACTCCTATCACTGCTCCTCGTAAGAAGAAAGATTTGAAGACATTTAGAAATGTGGACAGTAATCTTGCTAACCTTATCCTGAATGAAATTGTTGATAGGTAAGTAGGCTTTTCAGTGCAGAAAACCAGGGTTTTTTTTGTTCAGTACAGTTATGGTCTACTTGAAATGAAAATCAGTACTCAGTGTTTGTTGTGAGCTTTTTGAGGTTTTGGGGATTTTTTATTGTTGTCATTCTGGCAAAAATATAAAGATTCAAATAAGAAATGTTTATTGTTTTAAATTCTTAGCAATGTAAGATGTAAGTTGTATGTTTCCTCAAAAGGGTTCTGTATAAATAGTCAAATGCATTAAATCAGTCAGCTGCAGCTGAAAGAGTATCTCATTGTTAGACTAATTAGTATTCTATTTCTTTGTTAGTGGGCCAGCTGTCAAATTTGATGATATCGCAGGGCAGGAACTGGCTAAACAAGCTTTGCAAGAAATTGTTATCCTTCCTTCCCTTAGACCTGAGGTAAGCAACTGGGGTTTGTTATCACTGTGTCATAAAATCAAATGTATTGTCCTGCATACATGAAGTGATGATTCCTGTCTTTATTGGTTATGATTCCTGTCAATGGCTGTGTGGTCTTGGTCATCTTTGAAAAGGGCAATGAGGAATTTATATTAAAATACTGCTAGGAAATTCCTCATCTTCTGATTAGTCAATTTTGGAGAAAGTGACTGAGGTGTATGAGAAAATAGCTTCAAAAAAACAAAGCCAAACCAACCAAACAAAACCCCCAGCAAAGCACAAAAACCTAAAACCAAACCCCCCAAAATCCTGAAAAATTGTGAGGCTGACTGGTCCAGATAGCTATAGCTGTGTGTCCAGCCCTGTATGGATATATAAAAGACAAAGCCTATAACTGGAAGAGTGAAACATATGAGATTTTTGTAAGTAAATTTAAGTCATGACGTCTGATTTGAAAAGTATTAAAAGTGGTAGTGTGGTCATGTTCTCTGTGTGGATGTTGGTTAGACACTCAGAATAGTCTGTTCAGAGCAAGAGAGGACGCAAAAAAGTGTAGTAGCAAACAAGCTACTCAGCTACACTGAGGTGTCTAACATTTGAGGGCATATTTCCTGTTGTCTGCATGGAATTTGGTCATTTAGACATTTATTGTATTTATCATAAGTTAGGTCTGGTCTATGTACTACTGGAATTTGCTGAGCCACTTTTTAAAAAAAAAAAAGCATCTGTTTTGTTCTAAGGCTGGACTTGCTAGAAGCTGGATTCTTGCAGAAGTTGAATGTGATGACTTACTGCAGTGCTCATTATTCAAGCAAAGTTGCTGGTTATTCTTTCTTTAGTTGCTTGTGGGTCTCTGTCACGTTGGGAGGTGACTGAAGTTGCTCTGTGGTCTTCATCTTTCCTTTAATGTGGTTTCTGGTTTTGAAACATGGCAAGGAAGAAACCTTAAACCTGGCATAGCATGATAACCCTGAAGAAAACAAAGCTTTGGCATCAGATCTCTGGTATTCTTATGCAGAAGGAAAATGTCATTGTTCCCTCTGTCTTACTACAGTGTTTTAGTACATCTAGTTTGTTGTTCAGTAACACTAATTCAATGTAATAGGAAAAAAAAGAAAGATGAAGGGTTCTCCCATATGGAGTTAGTAGGAACATTCTTTTAGCTCTTACTACATACTTGCAGCTTCCCCTTTGTAAATGCAATTGGTACTTTTAACTTTTTAGGCTGTTCTCTCTTGTGGAACGTGTTGCTGCCTTTTATACTCCTTTCACAGAGCTTCTATGAACAGAATAATCATGAAACTTAACTGTTGGGTGGGAAACAATAGTGACGTCATTAGGTCAAATTAGTAATAGTGTGTAGTTCTATAAAAACCTATACTGTTGTAGCACTGTTACTGTTGCTACCACTGATGGCCAGTGAGCCATTCCTCAACCTTAAACCATTTGTTTATGTTAATAAACATTAAAAAAAAGTTAATAAACATTTTCTGTACGTTTTTCAACGTAACTTATGATGCTGTACTTTTCAGTTATTTACAGGACTTAGAGCTCCTGCACGTGGTTTATTGCTGTTTGGGCCCCCAGGAAATGGGAAGACGATGTTGGTGAGAAAATTACTTCATTCATGAATTGATGGGCTTAACATGTTGCCAGGAGGGGTGGCTTTCAGTTTGGGTCTTGTAGTAATAAACTATTTATTCTTCCTGGATAGGTGTTAATGATGTCAATTTAATACAAAAATGCAAAATTGTTCTTAACTGTGGATTTTACGGGGGAGGAAATTAAGAAATTGTTGCCTATTTAAATATTTTCAATATATCACAAGTAATATTATAAAACTTGAACCAGCAACTTTCATTTTTGGAGAGAGTGTAAAAGTACCGTAGCAGTGATTAGTCACAAATGGTCTGCTTTCCACTAAAACATACTAGGTGTGCGTTTTGGAAGTGGGGAAGGAACACGGTAGCAAGAGAGGAGGTGGTCTTACTTTCCACACTGCTGAGCAAAGGGCAGAAGTGTAGTGGAACTGTTTGGCTGCTGCTTGTTTTCTCAGCTTGATGTGCTAGATTCAGGAACGAGTGAAAAGGCTGAGCATCAGCCAGGGAGCATCGCGTGTCCTGATGCAGCTGAGCTGGACACATGGTCCTGCATCACATGGTGTGGCTGCAGCTGCACACCCTTCCCTGAGGCTGAAGCTGGTTTAGCTCTGAGGTGCAGGCATGTGAATGTTGAGCAGCTTGGGCTTATCTCTTGTGTTCTACATACTGGAACATAATTGCTAATTGCTAAAACGAGACTGTACAACCAGGGAATCATAATTTCTTGAATATGGTTAAACTTTTAAAGAAGAAGGTACTGTGTATGAGCATTCAGGCTAAACTGATTATTTGTCCTAGCTTTCCTCTGAAAACAGTTTTTCTATAGGTAGGGTAAGGAAAAAACCAAAATGCATTTTTATGGGGATTTGCTCCAACTTCTGCCCTAAATTGCCACCCTAAATTACTTTAAAGTATTTCAGATGTCTACTCAGGCTACGTTGAAAGGACCTGAACAGTTGTATTCTTCATTAAGCAAGTTGTGGTGGGCTATGGAGATGATGTGATTAGAGAAGTCTGAGGGATTCAGGAAATTTCTCTAGTGGTTCAATTGATTATCTGTTCTTATTTGTACATGGCCTGTACAGTATTTTTCTGTAGCATCTACCACGTGTTCTCTTTGAAGGAATATGGGTTTTGAGAATAGTCAATCAGGAGGATGTAAGTGCAAGATACAGCAGAGAGCTATCTTCAATGTAAGGTTTTAAAGATTACTTTTTTCTTTCTCTCTCTCTAGGCCAAAGCTGTTGCAGCAGAATCAAATGCTACTTTTTTTAATATAAGTGCAGCTAGCCTAACTTCAAAATATGTAAGTAGCAGCTGTAAATTACATTGATCTGAAAACACACATGCTGTAATTGGGGCTGAAGAAGGCCAGAGACTTCAGATGAGTCCTTGGGAAACAGCCTGTAGTGAATATTAAGTTGTAAAAAAAAAGTGACTTGTGAAGTAAAATATCTTGGTTTGTGCTTGTGGTAACTCAATGTCAAAGGCTTTTGCAGTTCAGAATAATTCTGGCTGTCATACAGATGAATCGTTTTGGATTTTTCATTCTTTAAAGAGGAAATTAAGTGGGTCTTAGCTCCCTTTCATTCTGATAATTTAGGCAGCAGAATCTCTTCCCAACTCAACTGTGATCATAAGTGCAGTTGTCATCTTTCTTTTAAGACCTAACTAATACTGTCATATGTCATACTGAACTAGTGACAGTCTGAGTGTGTGTGAATGAACTCAGTGTGGTTGGTTATCAGCCAGATTTTCTGCTAGCTTTCTTGTAATAAAAACTTTCTAAACCCCCTCCAAAAACAGTTTATTGTTGTTTTAGGTGGGTGAAGGGGAGAAACTGGTGCGTGCTTTATTTGCAGTAGCCAGAGAACTTCAGCCTTCTATAATTTTTATTGGTAAGACCTTAAATGTTGTTGACTTTTGTGTATTTTCTTGAATATTTTTACTTATTAAATTGGAATAATCAGGTAAATGTCTTTGGGTAATTCTGCAGTGCAGAGCAAGTGTTTTGGATATGACCTGCTCGCTAATCAGCAGTTTTACATAGAGCACGTTAGATTACTGTTAAGTTATTTGATTGGTGGTAATAGTGGGAAGGAATGCCCTCAAAAACACAAATGTTGTACTGTTGTACTGTACAAAGTAAGTCCATATATTTATTACACTTCAAACATGAAAATGAGTCTTGCTTGTCTTGTGTTGCAGTTTAATATCAGCAGGATTTTTTTTCACTCATTTCTGCTTGGTGTTACATATTCAAAGGACAACACATTATAGAAGCTTTTTAAGCTTTACTAAGGTCTGTCTGTCTCCTAAGGAATAAAGGTCTCATCTGTCTTACTGGAACCCTATATTAGCAAAAGAATGTAGGCAAATATGAAGACGTTGGTGTTGTATGCTTAATTAAGATGTATTTCTTTGTTTTTTTAGATGAAGTTGATAGCCTTTTGTGTGAAAGGCGAGAAGGTGAACATGATGCTAGTAGACGTCTTAAAACTGAATTTTTAATTGAATTTGATGGTGTAAGTATTTAGTCTTGGGTATTGTTTGATTTAGCTGAATTGGCTAATGTAGTGGGTGCCAGTAGAAGCTACAGATGAAGCAAAAAGAGGGTTTGGCTGGTGGGGTTTACCTCCGTTCCCCTTCCCCCTCACCTTGTTTGGCAAACAGCTTTTTTCTATTGCTGTTACTTTTTCACCTGCTAACTATAGTAGTCTGGAAAATTCAGTCTGGTGTGAAAGGTATTATTTGGAAATGAGCTGAAATAATGGGCAGAAAGACAGAGAAGACTATGGACAGAGAAGGAAAGATGACAATTGGCAATAATGAAGAAGCTGGGAGAACAGATGGCCTTACAGGGGAAGAGGAACACCGGAGGGTTAGGCAGAGCTGAATCCTTGTTTTCAGTTGCATGTTTTGGTGAAGCACATCTCTTCATTCTGGCAAAGTAAAAGAAGATTAAATGGCTTTTAAGTAGTGTCTCTTTTGTTTGTAAGGTGTATGTGTCACAAAAGCAAGGTCAAGGCATAAGGTGAGACTTGAGGAACGAGGATTTCAAACAGACTGGTTCAGATCATGGGTATACACAGGTTTGATACATCAGAAGGATTAATTTCTGTGTTAGTATGCTTTCTATTGAGCTGTAGTTTTTTTTCTTGACATCATGACCTAGAGATGACAGGATGCAAGCTATGAAGAGTATATTTAATAGCATGTATGTAATACCCAGGAAAATGTACTGGGTTTCATAATTAGGGGGAAACAAATGAATATCAGGATATTTTTATGTCACACAGCACTATGTTTTGTATCAAACAACCTTAATTTATATTCCACCTAGTACAGTGGAATATTGCTACAGTGGTGAAGCAATAGGAATGACATACAGGAGGACAACATAACTAGAGAGAGAGAGAATGAGATCAGGAGAGACTTTTCCAAAGAGGGATGAATCAGGACAAATAATGCAATGTGACAATGATTTTTAGAATTTTTTACACCTTAAAATGAAAAAGGGGAAGTGAAACATAATTAGTAAGTTAGCAAACTTTGGATCAAGGTGTAACTGTACTATACCATATTTTTATAGTACCTTTTGGACTTGGTAAGGCAGCAATGAACTGAAGTCTATGAATGATTGGACACTAGGTGAACATTAACATACCTCTGATACCCAGTGTTTTCTCTGAAGCCTGAGGCTGTATGTTTCCAGATTCTTGGATATTACAGAGTCTTGCGATTGAGTGAATTGGGTGGGGAATGACTGTATCTGTGGACTATTTGATAGCTTTTCATTCTGATGACTAGCTCGTTGTGAGACCTGTCTTAGATGAATCTCTGAGCTGCTTAGCAGTTCTGGTTGTAGCTTAGTCTGAATTTTTGTTTCTGTCTGTGTAGGCTTTAAGATAATGTTTGATGTTAAAATTCACAACAGCAGAAAGTCTCTTTTAAACATAATTATCTCTGGATGACTAACCTTCTGAGTACTTTTTGTAGTCTGTTTTCTTTAGGCTTGTAATGGGCAACATTTAAGCACTTGCAAGACTTTTCAAGCAGTGTGGGCACAGTGTCCTGAGTTCAGGTTCCTCCTTTTCTTTTTTTTTCTTTTTCCATTTTCCTAGGTTGACTTTACATTTATCTAAACAATGTTTTAAAGCTAATTGTGTGGGGGAAAAAAAAGTGTACATAAGATCCCATCAGTGTGCTGAATACATGGCAAGTCTCTTAACTGGCTTGGTTGTATTACTATTTGATGTAAACTGAAAGCTGTCTTACCTTCCTGTATTGTATAGGTGCAGTCTTCTGGAGAGGACAGAATACTTGTGATGGGAGCAACAAACAGGCCACAGGAGCTTGATGATGCTGTTCTCAGGTATCAAAATGTCTCTTCCTTTATTTGAATGCAATAATACAATGTTCATTATGAAGAGCAGGTTTTGCTACTTAGTGTTTTGGTTGTTAAAAGTTTTGGAATAAGTAGCAAAAGCTATTTGGCAAGCTTTAAATATCTAACCTCTCAGAGGTATCTGCCTCTTCTCTTTTGGAATATACCTACACAAGCATGATGCCCTTGGAATTGTCAAAAAAAAGCATTACCTGTTAAGAACAAGTCAGCATTTTATAACCTTCTTGCATCTTACATATTGCTTTTTTTTTTTTTTATGTTAATGGCAGGATGAAAGAAAAAAAAATTACTGGTGAAATCCAGTATTTCTTCTCTGTGAATATTGGACCTTGATCCTGTGCAATTACAAACCTTGCTCTTGATTTTCCTTAGGACTTTTTTGCTAAAAGTTCTCCTACATTCTCCTCTTTTCATTCTTGATTGAGGAAAACGGGCATGTCAGCACTGTCTGAACAAATAAAATACATATGTAATGATTCCAAAGGCTTTTTGTGTACCGTGAAGAGATGCTTCTGTTGCTGGTGTTTCCTCTGTGGGAGGAGTAAGGTGGCACAATGCATATTTGTTTGGGTTTTTTTAAATCTGTAGTTCTACTCCAAGAATTTGATGATGTAAGTGAAATGTTGACATTTACTGAAACAGATGTACTGTATGTGCTTAATAGTTATAAAAATGTGTATATATCTATAGATGTCTTTTTTCTTCTAGACGATTCACCAAACGGGTATATGTGTCTTTACCAAATGAGGAAGTGAGTATTGACTTCTGTTCATTATTCTTTATTTTAAGATCAATTTTGTTTAAAAAAGTATTAAATATATGCAATAGGCTATTCTTAACTTGTCCAGTCAATAATTACAATTCTGTGAGTTAACTTCTAGCCCAGCTTGGCTGTATCCCTTGTGCTTTAATTCTGGCAAGACTCTAAGTATTTGCTTTTTTTTTTTTTAGTAGCAATTCGGGTAGTAGCTACTCAGTTTCCTTGGCTAGGGAGGTTTCCTTACATACTGGCAGGCATGGACAAGTCTGAAGTAGGGCTTGCAGGAGCACATTGGTTGGCTGGAGAAGTGTTTATTGCAAAAGATGAAAGTAGCATTCTTAAAGTAATGTTTTTCAGCTCAACAGCAGATTAAAGTTTGTGATGAGGATTCAAATGTATTATTCTTGAAGTAGTTTGACAGAGATTACCAGCTCTCTGTCTCTGTCAGTGTACAGTCTAATCACAAACGCACTATAGGCAAGTTTAAACTAGAAAAGCACAAAAGCTAACCTGACAAACATGTTGTTTTGTTGTTGCAACAGAATTTTAAATGTACCATGAGAATTAGTTTTACATCTGATAAGTGTGTGTTCTTTTCAGACAAGATTAATTTTGTTAAAAAAGCTTCTAAGCAAGCAAGGAAGTCCATTGACTCAAAAAGAGCTGGCACAACTAGCTAGGTAAGTATTTTTGTAACTATTAACATATGTACTCAACTACTGCATTCATTCAACCAGCTTTATTCATTCCAAATGTAACTAATGTAACTAATCAGATAGTGACAACACTTGCTGTGAATCAATTTCATGATTTTTGGAAGAAGAGGAGGGAGGGGAATGCTTCTCCCCACCCATCCCCCAGGCAGTCTAGCTCTCTTCCCTTATGCAAAAAGGCAGTATCATTTTTCCACTCGGAATGCATTTCAAATCAAAAGCAACTTTTCTAAGCTCATCCATTGCTAGGTTTGTTGAAGGTATTATCAACATAGCAGAGCAAGCCCTGGATAATTTTATATTTTTTTAAGTTTCCTATTTGATTGGGGAAAATGTGGGTTAAGTGCCCTTCCTACTGTGAAGCTAAGTTGATTTATGTTTTTCATCACCAAGACTGACACTGTCTTGCTGTTTGTCATCCTCAGAAATTAAATGCAATGGATGTGAAAGAAGTTAGACAAAAAAGCAGGTAGAGCTCCTAGGGCACAAAAGAATGAAATCAGAGCATGAGATATCCACTTGCGTATTTTCTATGTACTTCAGTCTCTGTTTCTGTTTATGGTGGTAAACAGGAGGTCAGTATAGTCTTGGATGTAGCATTTGTCAGCCTCCTAGTGTTAACAACAGTGCAGAAATTTGACGTTTAAACCAACTGAATAAGTTTTCTCTGTACTTGAAGGATGCTAGCTTAGGCATATTTATGCTGCAGTAAAAGCTAAATGGAGAATAAAGACAGTGTCTTGGATTCTAACTGCAAGTTTATGAACAAAATCGCAAATGCAACTGAAGTCCACTTCTGTTTAAAAGGTTTAGAGAAAATATAAAAATTGAGGGTTCTGCCTTTTTTATCTGCCATCTTTCTTTGTTTCAAAAAAGATAGCTAATTAACTTCTTTTATGGTTTTGTGTTCCTTTGCTCCTCTGCTACTTTATAGAAGAAGTATAACAGAATAAATCTCCAGAGGACTGAGCTATGAAGCTGTTGTTTCTACAGCTAGTCACTGCTCCACCAGCTGGGTGGTTTGGTTTTTTTTTAAAAAAAAATATTTAGGTAACCTTTACTACTTCTTATTACTTACATTAGCAATATGTGTTTGTGGCTTTCTCATTCAGTGGAGACCCTTAATCTGCAAATTAGCTAACTTGGAAATTGAGTCTAATTACAGAAAAGGTACCATAGAGATTGGGTCCTGTGTTTTATTTCCCCTTCCTCCACTCCCCTGCCTTGTGGTTCTGAGGATTTGGATGGTTTGTATGTCTGCCAGTCTTATAATAAAACCCAAACCCTAGACAAACCCCAGTACTTAAAGACAATTTATCTTCCTTTCAGTCCACCTAAAGAACACCTGCATGTTTACGCTATATTATTTCCCAAATCAATGGGAAGTGTGTACGAGACACTGTTTGTTTCTGAATAAGGACCTATTCACTGTATTTCACTTCCAAGCTGAATGATAATTCTTATTTGACTCTAAATGTGTAAAGTGTTCAGGCTTCTGCATATAATCACAGAGGCTGTGGCTCAGGCTGTTGCAGCCGCCTCTAGTCCTTCAGTTGGTTTTTGGTCATGAGCAATTCCAGGCTTAGGCTTTAATGTTGGAATCAGTTGATGAGTCAGCTGTGCTAGAGATGGTTTTTCATGTGTAAACTATAGGAGACCGTTTCAGTTCTTTACTAAACTGCAGACTCTGAATTTGTGGAGTTGAGAAGCTTCCTTGGTACTTTGACAGTATAGTCTGTTACTAAACCTTCAACACTGAAAAAAGTCTTCCACCAGAAGTAGTGCTGGCTGTACTGTCACTTGTTGAGCAAAGTGGTGCTGCTTTTCAGATTTGTATTTCTGAATTACTAGAATTACTCTTCTGAATTACTAGAATTTTGTAATCTCTGGAGTCCACTGGCCAACTGCTGCTATGGCTTTCCCTTAACAGCATACTGTAAAACTATCACTTATGTTCAAAACCAAACACTACTGTTAGTGTTTTTGCAATGCCTGCTTTTGCCCTTTGGCTGGCTCTGATGTCAACTAAAAGTGCACAGTTTTATTTGGAAAACTTGTCTTGTGATCATATCACAGTAAATTTCTGGGATTGGATTTTCTTGGTATTGATTGGGTTGAAAGAATATGGGACAGCTGAGTTTTTGGGTTTTATATTGAGCTCATAACAGGAATAGTAAACAAGCTTGAGATTAGTTTTCACCTACAAATCCAAGTTGGCTGCTGTCTTTTTGCTTTTCCTAGAATGTTACTTTTGACTTGAATATCTGAGAAAGACTTAAATACAGATCACTTACTTTGAATGCACTTCTGTTTTATTAAACTTGGAAAACAGGATTGAAGTAATACTTCTTCTGATGAAGTAAACTTGTAATCATATGCAGTTAAAAACATGGTTTAAAGCAGTTTTGTTTGCTTTTCTTCCTCCTTTCCCGCACATTTTCCTTTGGCAAAGAATGACAGATGGATATTCTGGAAGCGATTTAACTGCATTAGCAAAGGATGCAGCGCTGGGCCCTATTCGAGGTAAGCTGCATAGCTTTTTATTTAGGTTTTGAAAAAAACTGTGCCCTTGATAGTAGAGATATTACATTTTCCTGCATATTTATAATTCTCAAACCTCTGAAATTAAGCTTTTTAGAATGGGTTTTGGTCAGTTCCTTGTAATAGCATCTTTTGTAAGATTTCCCTTACCCAAAACCCTTCATTACCTCACCATGTGAAGGAGACACTTTTTGTGTCATAAGGAAAGTAGGGTGAAGTGTTTTTCAGAGATTTATAGTTTTTTGAATTAGTGTATCCTTCCCAGGCTGGTGTCCATTCTGTTGTATCTAAAATATTACTTGATTAGCAATCTCTGACTGCATTGCTTGTCTTTATAAAGTGGGCTGATCTTTCTCAAATCTGAAGGAATAAGATACTGAAACAGAAGCAATTTTGTGGTTCATGTTGTGGGGGTTTTTTTTAATGGTTTGAATGGTATAGCTTTTTTATTTTATAATCTTCTTTATGTTGAGTTGTGATCCAGATAACAATTTAGACTCAAGTAGAGTTTTACCTATATTTGTTCTTCCTCTGAGAATTCCAACTTTAAAACTCCACGATTTTAATGCAAAGTCATTGCTTTTTTTCCACTCCCCACCCTACCTCTTTGTTCTGTTTTGCTGGCCAGTGATTATGTGTCCTGTGGCTGCATCTGAAGGGGCTGATTTTTTTCAGTGGAAAGCAGCATGGGATTTTGTGAAGAAAAGGTTGTGAAGACTTTATGCTAGTTTTCTGTTTGCAGATATATTGTTGTATTTGACAGAAAGGTACTAAAGGCAGATAGAGCAGAAGTGTTTTGTAATATCTCTCTGTTACATGTAAATAGAAGTTGCTGCAACTCTCTTAAACGTTTTATGGGGAGGAGAGGTCTGGGCATGTTTTGTGGGTGTGCTTGTTTCATTAACTTTTTTCAGTTGAGCAAAAAATCCTATAGCATGCAGTTTTGCCAGTGCACTATCACTTTGAAAGCAGCTGCTGGAATGTAATGTTTTTTTACCCACTTACTTTCTGCTCTTGAGATTGTAAGGCACATCTTCCAAAATCTTGTCTGAAAACAGGGAAACAGAATTGCATTAAATAGCTCTCACAAGAGACATCGTGTCTCCTAAGAGTTTGAATATATTTATTTAGAGTGGTTGAATAATGTATGTAGGCTTTACTTTGCTGACAAATCACTTCACGTGCAAGTCCATTTTGATAAGAGACCATGAAATATTGTGCAGTCTATTTCTTCTACCTCCTCCTGTCTTCTATATAAAAGAATGTCAACCTTGCTGATCCTGGCTAGATGCTTCTTTTCTTGCACCCTCAGAACTAGAAGTTTGCTGTAAGGTGTTGATACAGTATTGCAAGTAAAAAAAAAAAGTGGTGAAGGATACAGGAATTATTAAATCCCACCAGTACTGCATGGGGCAAGAAGCACTCCTGAGTGCCCTGGTTGAGGTGCTAATAAGTGGAGGAGGCAGTAAAAATACCATGTATCGTTCTGTAAGGAGATTATGTTGAGACGGAGAGGTATAATTTTTAGCTGTTTTTTTTTTTCAGAATAAAAGGGCTTTTATCATACTGTAGTTGTCAGAAGTAATGAACGTTTTTCTGTGAAGTTCACTGATCTTCCCTTATTTTTACAGAATTAAAGCCAGAACAGGTGAAGAACATGTCTGCCAGTGAGGTATGCTGTTCTAGCAATTGTATTTTCCTCTTTTAATAGACTGCATTCTCACCCTTTATTTACACTTGGTATCATACAGAACAACTAGCATATTTTTTGGCAGTATTACCCATTTTGATTACTTCTTCATGGAGGAAAATTCGTTACAAATAATGATTGAGAAGAAAACATGTCCTCAGGTGCCTGAGGTTCTTTGTGTAGTTTGTTGGGTTATCAAGCTTAAGTGTAGTAAGTCTCCATTATTCTTGGTTTCAGCTGACTGTCCTGTCGTTTCAGCTAGAGGCCTGGGGTTTATTTTCCTGCAGTGTTAGTCCCCCAAAACATTCCCAAAAGTATTATGTCAAATGATTTATTTCTACTCCCATCCTATCTTTCCATAAAAGAAGTCATCCTAGGGAGGACCTCTGAGGTATTTTAAAACAAGTTTGTTTGTTTGTATGTATAATGCTTACGTTCATTCACATGGTCCATTATAAAGTAAAAAAAAAAGATTAAGTTCCTTGCCACGTATTGCATCTGTAAACATCAAAAGAAAAGGAAGTTGGTCCAGCATATAAAAGTTTCTGTTCAAATGTGTGTGCAAACTGCAGTTACTTAAAGAAATTGAAGCAAAACTCAATTCCCCTGTTGCTTTCTGTGTTTAGCCCAAGATCATGGCTAAGGCTATGATAAGTTGAAAGGATTTGTTGCAGGAAGATAAGAACATCTGCAATGATTTGTTGTGAATGCAAGTTTACCCCCATAGCCTCTAAACGTTAGTTCCAAAGAAACTTGGGGAATCTTATCCAGTTGTAATGTTTGTCCCCCTTTAATAATGAGACTGCTTGTTCCACACACTTTGGTTATCTCTCATCAAGTCTGGACATTTCTCTAAATGGCAGAGGTCTGCTTATAGTCATGTCCTTAGTAAATAACTGAAAGGCAGGTGTTGAATCAGAGAGGTTAGATAATGGGGATTACTTGGCTGACAGCATGCTATGGTCTGAATACACCTGTGCTAAGTGTGGGAAGTTTCCATGCCTTACTCTCCTAATACGCAGAGATGTGCCATAAACATGTTAAATCCCATGGCTTGCCTTTTGCTCAGGTCTGTGCCCTCACACGCACCAGCCTGCGCCATCTAGTGAAATGGGAGTAGTAATACACTCTCGTGGACTATTTAATAACAAGGCAGATATTATGATTACTAAATGTTGGTTTATTAAAAACGGTAAATATCAATAGTCTTAAATGAGAAGATTCTTCCATCAGCTCATAGAATCATAAAACAGCCCTGGTTGAAAGGGACCTTGAAAGATTATCTGGTCCAACCTTTCATGGGGAAGGGAGCCCAGATGAAACAATCTAGCACCTTGCTCAGTCACATCTTGAAAACTTCTACCACATCCGTGGGGAGGTTGTTCCAGTGAATGACTGTTCTCACTGTAAAACAGTTCTTTCTTTCTTATATCAAGATGACACTCTTGTAGAATATGCTTTGGTGAAAGTAAATACTGAAGTATTTTCTAAATGAACTGAAGCACATCAACCACTTGTGATCCTGATGTCTTTCTGTTTAGATGAGAAATATCAAACTGTCAGATTTCACTGAGTCTTTGAAGAAGATAAAGCGCAGTTTGAGCCCTCAGACCCTGGAAGCATATATTCGCTGGAACAAGGACTTTGGAGATACTACAGTGTGAAACACTACTTGAAGTGATATCAAGTGCTGCCTAAGGAGCAATTGGTACAGGCTACTGGAAAGCAGCCAGAGTTTACAGGACTGTACAGATTTTTAAGTATCTGCGTTAAAACTTGAGATTAAAAAAAAAAAATACAATGTGAAACGTGTTCATCAAAGTCTCCTTGCCATTTAGTGAGGATTTACACACTGTAAGTAAGAGCACAATAGGACTTGAGATAAGATTCCTAGCAATCCAATTATGGTTTGAACAATAATATATGTATTTTGTTTCAGCTAGAGGGCTCTGATGATATTGAACATTGGAAGACCTTTTCTTTATGTTGTGTGCTTCTTTGTTTTTAATTTTGCCATGACATTGATGTCTGGCTTTCTTCCTGATAACTACTAAACTACAATTGGAGGTTTGTAAACTTTGGTTCAGTTTTTGACTTTTTTATCCTTAATGTGCCAAATAAACCGATTTCTCGATGCAGAGAGGATGAACAGCATTGGGGAATTACAATTATTAAAATGTAAAAAGCAGCTGGTCTGTTATTATTTGTCTTTTTGTTCAGTTGTAATGTGACTGTACTGTTCACAGAACAGTTTTAAAGACCATTGATAGCAGAACAGCAAAAAAAATATAATCCCAACCCCTATAAACCAATTCCAACTGTCTTTAAAAAATAAATTACTAAATAAAAAAACTGACTAAGACATTTATTTACTGGCAGTATTTTCTCTTAATGCATTTTGTAATGTTTCCATTGGTAGAATGTTAGCTTACGCTTATGGTGTGCAACTTGGAGCCCAGCTGATGTTAGAAAGAGTAAGTGATGCTACTTGTCAAGTTTAAGAAACTACATGTTCCTACTCTGTATTTTGCTCTGTTTATGATAATTGAAAGTAAAATTTCCATTGTGATAATTTTTTTTAATCTACACATGTAAGCATTAAAATACGAGGCTACATGTTTAATATATGGCACACATTAATGTTTTTATAGCTTTCATATGTTTTGGTTTATATATTAAAGTATGAAACACTCAACTGATCTGCCTTTTTAAAAAGAAACTGAATCTTTGTACAGTACTTGTTTTTATTATATAAATGACAAGCTATTAAAAACCCATAAGCGATAGCCTTTAAATACTGTAATAAAGGAAAACATCTCTGCCTTTACTTCTAAAGGCCTGACATCTTGTTTACAAATTCTACATGGATTAAACACAGATGTTTGCAAGGCAGAACACTAGTTCCTTGTTAAAGCATGTCTGTGGCATTTTTTTGGTTTTGTTTTTTTAAAGGCAATGCTCCTAACTTTGTGGTATTACAAAAATATATATTGTTTACAGTTTTTTAAACTAAACTGAGTTATAAACTTTGTTTGCTTTTAGTCTTAAAGTAAGATTTTGTTCTTAATTTTTCTTCTAACTTATTTTTTATTGGTAGGAGTAAGTCAAAGATTTCTGGGACTACTCACCTGAAAGCTGACTCTAAATAATATAATATATTATATATATCTTTTAAAAAGACCTAGCTAATAGATGTAAGTACAGTGATACCCAGAGAGGACTCTGCTCTCTGTGTAAGTAGCAGAAACTGTGTCAGACTTGAGACACACAGATGCAATAGGTTTGGGATTGTTTTTCTGAACCAGAGATGCTTTAACTTATCATAAAATTAAAAGCAATTAAATAAGATCATGTTACACTAGTATGCCTTTTGAAATAGTCAAACCAAACCACATTTAGCTTTCTAAGGGTATGACTCTTAAATGCCTGATGTAAATAAAACATGTGACTTCTGCTCCCATGAATCACTTTCCTGGAGAAGGGGGAGATGTTAAAAGATTTCAGTTCCTTAGAGCTCATGTATTGCTTGCTTTCCCTTAGTTCTGCCTTCAGTAGACCTCTGTTGTTAAAGATTCCTGTTTGACTTGATCTGTATTTGTCATAGACTTCTTAGTACCAAGCATGAACATTACTGTTTTATTTCAAATCCATGCTCGTGGGCATGTGATAGCTACCTGAAACGTAGAGGTAGAAGTTCCCATCTGCTAAAACACCACCAGTATGCAGCACAAAAGGGTCAGAAGGCTGAGCTGCTACTTCAGAAAGAAAAGGGACTAACCCTTTCACTTGTTTGTACCAGTTCAGGTCAAGAGATTCTGTGTGACTAGCACCACTGCTTTTTGGTTATCTATTCTGCCCTGATTGTTCTCTGGATAATGGATGAGCTACAGCTCTATAAATGACTTCTAGAACATACCAGTAAGAACTTAGTCTTGTTTTGCATCAGCCTGCCCAACAGCTGCTGGATTTTTAACCTATGATGAAGTGCTCTTTGGTTCATAAATCTCCCTAGAATGTGTTAAACTATTTTCTGCATAGTGTTTTTTGAAACTAATTCTGGTCTTCTTAAGGCATTATCTCACATCTTCTGTTTTTTTGTTTTATAGGTACTGAGTGTGTTCCAGCTCAGTTACTTCATCTATATGTTTGATTAATTGTGTATAAAAGCACATCTGGGAAAAACAACAAACCAAAATCAAGCCAACACCCCCCAGTAAGAACCCCCAAATACCTGTATTTTCCAAATCAGTGGTATTTTGTATAGAGCTTAGCAACTGTATTTACCATAAAATCATATTATATTCTAATACAGTATCTTGAATTGGGATAGGATAAGCAGCTGGGATGCTTTTAACCTTTGCAAAGATTCATGTTACATTAGCTCTCTAAACTGCCTTTTTTTTTTAATGAATCTGCCTACTGCTAGTGAATGAGTGATTTGACTCACTTTTTTGAGATGATTAAGAAGCAGCATATTTGGCCCTCTGCAAGTGTGTTTTACTGACTTAAAGTGTAGCAGTTGCCGGAGGGAGAAAAAAAACACCCAAGCCCCCTGTTCTTCTGACAGCCTTCTTCATACATTTTTGCCCCTTTTTGTTAAAGCAGGAAACACACCTTTTATCTTTCTACATGTTGGAAGAACAATGTCTTCTCAGGAAGGGGATTGCTGCTTTTCAATGGGGGGAAAGGTGAGAAAGTCAAGCACTGCTTGATGCTCTTTCTCCTTAAAATGAGACTTTGTCATGTGTTAATGATGTTCCCTTTACTAATGTTGACTTTTCTGTACAGTACACAGAACCTTTACACGTTCTCTCCTTGTGGCTAAGACAAAAACAACACTGAATATTAAAGATGAGCCTTAAACTAGGATATTTATGCACATGTAAGTCTCCCTGTCCTAATAGTTTCTTAGACTTTACAAAGTTCACTGTATTAGAAACAGGCATTCTGCCCCTGAGATGTCTTACTCTTCTTCAGAAAGTCAGTCACTAGAACAATTTTGTTGAATGTGGCCCTGCAACTTACTTTACGTAGATAGTAAATGTGATAGTAGCAGTTTAAAATTGAGAATGGGATCTCTGAGCTGAGAAGGTATTTGTTATCACTACACCAATTAGAGGCGTTGTTGATTTCATTGTTAGAGCTTCACAAATGTTCTTAAAATGATAGGTTTTATATTTTAAATTGGACAATTAATCTTACCTTCTGGTGTAGAATAAATAGTATTTTTTCTATTCTAAACAAGTGCTTTTTAGTAGTGGTTGGCACTGCTGCCAAGTCCATCTTGCGAAATATAAGGACTTTGCACTTTGAAAATGCTGGCAAATTCAACAGGCATCTGTTCTGCAAGTGGTATGGAAAGCAGCATTCTCCCTAGGGCTTCCTTAACCAGTTGTGGGGAATGTTTGTGCCCTAGATTCTTACAGTGCTTTCCTGCCAAAACATGGGTAATGTATGGTTGTGCCTAAGACACTACTATATAGCTGTTCAGGTGCTTGCTTTAGTAATGCTTCTGTGTGTGGCAGCTTCAGGTGTTGTAGGTTTCAGATCTTCATTCATTATCTGTGGTGGTCTCAAGCTTTCATAATGGTTTTGGTGGTGGGGACTTCTACCAGATATCAAAAATGGAATGAAAAGTAGCAAGCAGGTAGAGAAAGCAAGTAGTTCTCTCAGTCATTGTCCTACTTAGAGGCAGTTGTTAATTCTGTTGTTGGTTCTCTTGAGCTGCTGTTTAGGGTTGAAGGATGATGCTTTACTCACCTATGTAAATTTTGATGCTTAGGATGATCTGCTGGTCATCCTAATAGATGACTAATTGATCAGTTGTTTCCTTTTAGAAATTTTTTTTTAAATATTCTTTTAATAATTTTTAAAAATTGTAACTATAGTTCCACAGGACGAGGGAAGTTCAGCTGCCACTTCCTGCAAATACAAAATCATCTTCTGAAGTATGGGGAAACGTGTATTGTGTTTTTCCTGCTTCTCATGTAAATAATTAACTGTCTTAGAGTGGAAGCTGTTTACTTTGTCAATAACTACCTCCTGAGTTTGGCAATAATTGGCAAGGTATACACTCCTTCAGTGGATTAAATGCATTGGCTGAACACTGTGGGTTCTTCAGAGTTTAATCTTTTGATTTGCAAGTTCTTGACATGATGTCTGGAAAAAATGGTGATAAACCTTGGTTTGGTGTCACTTTCCTTGCTCTCACAAGATGCAATTAAAACCCTGTTTCAGAGACATGGCTTTGAGAATAAAGGTTATTAACGTTCTTTGTAGTTGGTTAATAAAGGTGTATTTTAAGGTGCTAGGGGTGTAGCCTCTTGGTCCTGCAGGTTTTATACCATTAAAAGGAGGGAAGAAAGTACTTTATTTAATACCTGCACACCTATCAAAGGGACAGGAAATACAGAAACTGTTTTTGCCACATGATTCAAATCTGTATTTGTGTGAAGGGCTAGTCAGTATTTTTCAGAAATACAGATTAAAGTGACAAAAAACAAAGGTGGAGACAAAACACTAAACCTCACCCCTGTTAAATACGTGGGACAATTCCAGTCTGGGATTGGGTTAGTTCTTTTATCTTCTTGGTTTGAAGCACTTTTGTTTCATTGTACTTTTAAGAATGTTTTCTGAAATGTTAAACACAATTATTACATTTAAGCAATGTAAAAAAGCATGATGAGCAGTCACATAGCTTTAGCTTCACAATAAAATGTTGAATTTGTCCTGTTCTTGCTGTTTTCTTGTCGGTTTATCAGATAAAATGTCCAAAACTAAGAGCCTTTTTATGAAACCTGAAGCTGGTTTAGTTGCTGCTGGTTTAAAAGAAAACAAAAAATATCAGATGTTATATACCAGATTATGGAAAGATAAACATGTAAATACTTCATTTAGTTTCTAAAGGACTAAAGTTCTTAAAACTAATGTAAACAGAAGTGCTACTTCCTAAATAAATGTGCTGAAAACTCAAGTGTGTGCCTATCCTCTCCCAGCCCTGATAAATCAGTGGAAACCAGGAGGTTTCACGTAAATAACTCTGCTGGTCATGGTGAAGTCCTGAAAATAGCAGCCCTTTGGAGCCAATTTACATGGGTTCAAAATCGCACCTTTTCTTCTGTTGGGGGGAAAGCACTGCTATTATTTTTGAGGTAACAATCTACATTCTTCACTTAGCCCCATCTCCTTAATGTTTGTAACTCTTTATAGCCATTGTCCTGAGGCTGCATCTGGATTGCGAACAGCTACTGGGGCCTTCTGTACTTGCACCTGAAGATAAGATTTAAGAATTAAAAAAAGTTGGATTACAGTAATTTTAATATTGCATATGTGGCAGCATTAGAGGTCTCTCAAAAAGCAGCCATGACCACTGCCTTTATGTCACTGTATCTATTGCTGTTAAAGCAAGCAAACCAAATAAAAATCAAGACAGCAATTAGGAAAAAAAGCCCAGGGTTTTGGACTGAAGCATGAGAGTGTTTCTGTTAAGCCTTAATTCCTTGGTGTAGAAAGACAGGGTTGCTGTCTTTCCAGGAGAATTACTTAGTATCTCTGTTGCTCACGTGCTACAGCGTGGAGGTGGATTCTGAACCACTGACATTATTTCCATTAATGATGTGTATAGGTTACAGATGTTCAAGTAGACTTTTATTTTTGTAGAGATGCTCAGATGAACTTAGTGAAAAAGTAAGAACCTGAAAACAATATCCCAGCACTTGCTATGTTGAAAGTCACTGTTACAGACTTGGCAGCACAGCCTGGTCTCAAGTATATTGGAGTGCATGGAAGGTAAAGCTTTTCCCATTCCAGTCAAGAGGGGGTGATACA